CCTGTGCTTGTTGGGTCAAGGTTGGGTTTCTTGATGGTGGGAGGAGGAGCAGTAAGTGTCTCTCCAGGTCCTTTTCTGGCTTTTTTAGCTGTAGCTCAAGATAGCGGCCTGTGCTGGGTGTCGTCAGGTTGCTCTTGGCATCCTCTTGTGCAGTTCTGGTCTCTCAGCTCCGATCTCTGGAACCTCTCTGTCTGCACTCCACTGTGGGCTCCCAGGACCTCTCTGATATTCTGAGTCATCCCTCTGAGATGACCTGAATTACCTTCATCCCTGTGTTGTCCCTTTTCAGGGAGAAGAGAGGGAAAGAGATGACAAGAGAGATAAAACTTCAGAGAAAAAAGTGTGATTGGGAAGGCTGGCAGGAGTGATGCTGGGGAAGAAGTAATGGGCAGGGAAGGCAGGAGGAGTGACAGTGAGGGGTGTGGGGTGGGAAAGCCGAGCAGGGAGTTGAAGAGAGCAGATGGTGCTGACACCATGGGGAGGGCATGATGCTGGTGCCTGTTTCATGGCCCCGAAGACCTTGAGACGGCTCACAGGGCTCATCTTGAAGATCACTGGCTTAAACTGGGTTCACTATTTAGATTGCCATAGGTGAAGATTTACTTTCTTAATCTCATTCAGGCATATCTGTTTGGGATTATTTGTTCTCATTTGTGAGTCATTCTTCTCTAGAGAAAAACAAACCAAAAAGAGTAAAAGAGTGGCCCCTCGTAGCGGGCGAGTGCTGGAGCGGTGTGTGACCCTGCCGGGCCTCCAGCTGCCCTCTCCCCCTGCCAGCCTGTCCCTGTGAGGCTCCTGTCTCACCGTCGGCCGCTTGTTTCTCTATCAGCGCTGCCTTTGTCTGCTGCCGGAGCCCACGCTCACGCTCCACTTGTGCTTTCGTTCTAGTTCCCTCCTCACTGTTGTTTCACCTCCTGCGTGTTCTCCAGAATTGCATAGGTTATCTCCTACTGTATTACGATACAAAAATTATGTCTGACTTCCCAGCTGATGTTATATCTGGGTTCTATTTTGGGAAATTGGCAAGATCTGGATGAATTTTCTCCACCCTCATTTTTGCCTGTTGCTTTTTTTGTGCTTTATTTTCTTTTCTTGCTTGTTATTTTTGATCCTCTTGTCTCCAGTATCATCTACCTTCCTCTCCAGGTTGGTTGTTTCCAATTTCATTTTCCTTTAATGAAGGTCTGTTACTTTTTTCCAACTAGAAGCTCTTTAAGGGCAGGGAACAATTTTGACTCAGTATCCTGACTTAGTATTTTAGCACTGTGGAGGGAGAAGGGTAAATGCAGTTGCACTGCATTTTATTCCAGCCCATCAGATGGGCTGCCTTTAAAAATTAAAATTATAGACTACTCGTGTATACACTGGCTGAAAGATAACTGGATTTCTGATTCACGTTGAGATATATTTTATAGGAAGTATTCTAGCAGCCCATCCCTATTCTGTTTGTTCAGTGTTTCCATCTTACTTACTGGGAATATTTCTGAAACATTTTGTTTCCAGCCCTCCAGCCTTTTCTGCTCCTTGTACTGGTCAGAATCCAGCGTCTCACCTGCCTCCTGACGATGCTGAGCAGCAGGCCGCACTCCTGCTGGCGTGCTCGGGGGACACGCTACCCACGACTTTGCCTCCAGTGAACATGTACGACCTTTTTGAAGCTTTGCAGGTAACTCTTGGCTCCTTAAGGTTTACCTGGATTTATGGATAGGCTCAGAGTTTCTTCAAGTCCACAAAGATATTCACTAGCTTTTCCATTTCCTGGCTTTTGTTTTTCAGTTTCTATTGTTTGTTATTAAAGCCATTAATAGTAACCTAATCTTTCAAACCCCCGGCTCAAGAGTCCTTCCTAACTTACCTCCCGCATCTCTCACCTCCCCAGTGAAAGAAAAAAAATCTCCTTGTCCCCTTATTTCTATTTCAGAGCCTTGTTATTTCCTTGTTTTCTTGTTATCTGATTTGGGATTAATTAGGTTCTGGCTTAAAACTTACAGGTTTGTGTGTCTTTTGTGTGAGTGTTTTGTTGACACAGATCTTACTTTCATTTTCTGTGTTGGAAAAATAAGCATACTGAAGTATAATGGGAGACGTGCTGATATGTTTTCAATCCCAGGTACACAGGGAAGTCATTCCTACACACACTGTATATGCTCTCAACATTGAAAGGATCATTATGAAGCTCTGGCATCCAAATCATGAAGAGCTGCAGCAAGACAAAGTCCACTGCCAGCGCCTGGCAGCCAAGGAGGGGCTCTTGCTCTGCTGAATTGGGATTGGAGGGTGTGGGACCCTCAGCAAATTCATTGATGATTGGGAATTGAATGCTTTTGGGGGCCACATTTCAAGACTGAAGTGTGTAGAGTAAATATAACCTTTCCTATGGAAAGGTGATAGTACATTTTGTGTTGCTACCGTGAAGCCATTAATAAATCTGATTTTAATAATGACCCATATCTCTGTATGTATGTGTGTGTGTGTTCCCAGTTATGGGAATAGGCACTGGGAAAGTTCTGTGCCTGGAATGGTGCTGTTTAGGCATCTGAGGCCTAGTATCCTGTGGTCTGCATGTGAGGTAGGTGACATTCTAGAACAAAGAAGCTGTTATAACTTAGTCCCCACGATCAGCAGGACATCTCTGTTTAGAGACATCACGTATTCTGTATCTGGCAAGTCTAAAATTTCTGCTTTCCTCCTGAAGAAAGAACTGTGCTTTTAACACAGTGTTAAAAATCGGTTATCATTTTTACTGATGAGTTTTATATATGTATATATTTTTTTGTGACCAGTTTAATTTTTAACAGGTATACGTAGTTGCCTAAAGATTCATTCCAACTCCATAGAAAATAAGACTTAGCAATGCTGTGCTATTAGAGAAAATAAAGTCCTTTCTTTAAATTAAAAACCAAATCAAAACAATCTCTTAGAATGTAATTAACCTTATAAAATATCTTCTCATAACTCAAGTTTCTTTTATAGAGTTGTTATGCCCAAAGACTTTGATTGGCAGGTTCATCTTTTAATTATTCCTATAGGAGTCCATGTGAACATATTGGATTTATACTAGGTAATTCTCCTATTCCTATGAAATATCTTTTTCTATACTTTCAAATGGCAGTGTTACTAGTAACTGTTTGTTTGTTTAGAGATATGTTGCTTTTTATTCAAGAGATGTTATTGGTGGATACGTTAGAATGTACAGATGGGTTTACGTAGGTCTGAATAATATATGTATAGATATGTATATATGGTTCAATATCTGGATCTGTGTATTTGGTTTTGTACTTTAAATGCGACGAATAAACCTTTCGGGAGAAAACTTTTTTTGTTTATTAAAGTAAACATATAAGGAACACCACCTTCTACAGAAATATGAAGAACCTTGCTTTCTGAGATCTTAGCAGAGACTTTTCAAAAGAACGTACTACATGAGAAAGATTAAAAGCAGGTTCCAATTAAGGCATGTCATTTCTTCCTCTTGTGATATGTAGGTTAAGACTAAAAAGAAAAAATAAACAGCCTAGTTTCAGTTCTTGGCACAAGTCTGGAAATCCTTTAGAGTTTTCAGTAACTCAAGAATTTTTAGGGTTTGTAAGAATTTGAACTGGTATCTAATTGCATATAGTGGTTTTGGCTTGGCCTATCCATGTATCTGAGTCTTAATGCTAAGTATGTGTTAAATTTCATGTGTTCCATAGATGGAGAGGCAGCTAGAAGAAGCCTCAGACATGCCCTGCTGCCCACTGCAGTGGCAGGTTCCATAGAAATCTGTATAGCAGAGGGACCTCCAAACAGAAAAATTCCTCACTACTCCGTAGGACCTGGCCTAAGTCCCTAGTTGCCTACTCTGGTGGGACCACAGGACACCAGAGGACTCTTTTTGCCTCCAAGTTTCGGGCCTACATGCCAAGATCTACTTTCCATGCCAGTTTCCCTCAAGCGTCATTTTGTACAGTGGAGAGATTGGGTTGAGGGCAAGGCAGGCAGGTAGATAGAGTGATACTTAGGATTTTTCAAGAGAGCCAGAGTTCAAATGCCTTGTTCCACCAAAGGTGGCCTCCAGCCGTAGCACCGTGGTCAACTGTGGGATCCTGAGTGCAGTCTCTTCTATAATTAGGTTCTTAAGAAATCATGAGTGCTTATTATCAAGCATCATTTAGAAAAATAACTATTTCAAAGAGGAAAAAAGCTACTAGAAACCAGATAATTTCAGGCTTAGAACAGAGCTTAGTTTTCCTGTAGGGATTTCAGTAATTGTCTTTTAGCTGTAGGTATATCATTGTGCAAAACCAGGTTTGATAAGGCCCACCTTATTTTCTACCAGGTACCAGAGTGCTGGCTTAGCACACATTCTTATCCCCTTTGTCACCCATTGCTGGCATCAACCAAGCACATAATTTCTCTAACACTTCTCCCATTGTCTGAAGTGATCACGACGTTCCTGATCGAATTTCATGAAGCGTCTTCTAAATGATTGCTCACTTTGACCGTAGATAAATACCTGTGTTTCCTCATGTCTTTTGACTCGGACCAGAATGCCTCCAGTTTGAATAATGGTAAGGAAGCTTGGTTTTCGGGGTCAGACGTAGATGCTGTGGCCAACAGATTGGTTCAGCATTTAATTCTCACGGCTTAAAAAAGGAAAAATGTCTAGATTATTCTTGGAGAGTAGATTAATATTTAATTGAATCTACAGGCATGGTAAATTGTCAAGACTAAAAGCACACCGTGAAAGGGCATCTAGGTTCATCATACTTTCATTTTGAGAGAAATTTATGAAAACAGGACACAAGTTTTCTGTTCATCAAGCTGCATGTTTCCATCCTTTTAAAATTAATATCCCTTTATGAATTTCCTTCGTGTGATTTTTCCTGTGAGCATCCAAAACATGACTGATTGAGGGAAAAAGCTATTTTTGCCAGGGCCCTTTCCCCCACCTTTAAAAGCCAGTTTAAAACCACATGTAACATATGTCTTTAAAGACACCAACATTACTTACACTGCCATCCCATGAACAGACTTTTTTATTTCAAGGGTGTAATATATTGGTACCAAACTGAGTGGAGAATAAAGTGTAAATGAAGAGTTTGAAATGTGACTTTTCACAAGGCTAGCAGATAAATAAAACCACCAGAGCCTATTGTCTTTATTATCAAAGTTTATTGTCGGAGTCAGTTCCTATCTACTGGGGAGTACAACTATGTCTCAATATGTGCTATAGTAACTCTAGGGTAATAGCCATTCTGCAAAATAGTTGTACTGGGGCTCTGTTAGGCATAGATCATAATAAAGTCAGTGGAAGAATGAGCCCAGAAAAACCCTGACAGTAGAGCCATTCCTCTAGGGAAGTTCCAGTGCTAAGCAACCTGTAAGGCATCATCTATCAGCTGACGATGAGACTCAAGGAGGTGTTGGTAGAATGAAACAGGAGTTGAACCCATTTTCTACTCTTCCCTGCAAGACAACTATGGCTCCAATGCAGGAACCAAAAATTAGGTCTTATAAAATCCTTTAAGCTCCCAAAGCAAGTAAAATAGGACATAAAGAGGAAAGGGCCAGGAACCAGGATAGTGGAGGATAAATTAAGTGTAATTGGAGGGAATGAAAACTTCTGGAATGAAAAGTAGCTGGATTTAGATGCCGTTTGAGATGACAAAGAATACAGTACAGGTAAAAGCAAATGGGGAAATGATTCAAACATTGAAAGTTATTCAGATATCAGAAGTTAAGTGAAATTTCCCCTCTTAGAGGAAAACTGGTTTTAAAAAATGAGGAAGGTGAATCACTAATAGGAAAATGAGTACCTGAGTAGAAATAGGTGTTTCAAAATGCCAAGAACAGTATAATATACAAATGAGCTGGGTCTACAGGAAGGAAAAGTGGTTATGGTAGCCTGTTAACCAGATCTGACATTGGAATGACATTTCTAACAATGGCTTTGTCTATGAGGTTCTGGCATATTTTTCGTAGCACAGGTAGCTTTGAAGGAATGTTTTCATAACACTCAGCGTATGTGGGAATGCACATTACTTTAGTGTAAAAATTCAAAGACCTCCCACCTGTTTCTGCAAGATAGAAGAAGTCTTCAAACAGCTGTGGCCAAAGACCCACGCCCTCTCACCACCCTTGCGATAAAAACATTAAAGGAATCGGAATTAACAAAACAGGTATCAGATGAGTCAATGAGCTTTGTACCATGTAGACAGCAGATAATTTATGGTGACTTCTGCAGGCAGCCTGAGAAACAGAAGAGCTTGTGTACTAAATGCTACCCTATCATTAAATATAATAATAATGAAAAACAGGGCCATTAAATGAGACCCTAGAAAAGTCTAGCTGCCAACCAGATTGGGAAGATAAATGAAACGGCATAGTTTATTTTAATCTGTATCTTCCACACTAACCTAGTTTGTCTACAGAAAAGCCATCTGCTGGCATCAGGCCAGTACGTCTGAATTTTGTTGTTGTTATTAGCATCTCATTTTTCCAAAAGAGGAATGTGTAAGTAGCAGGTGTACATAAATGACCATTTCTACAAAGCCTTCTCTGCAGTCTTGACCTGTGTGGGGACAGGTTCTACTGATGGAAGCATTTTTAAAGGCAGAAGAAAAAACATTGACTTGAGGTTTTCTCCACAGAAAATACCAGTGGAGTTGGGCCCGTATGATGAGTCTCTTATTGGCGCTGAACAAATGGCCTCTTCTCCAGGAAATACCTTTGTTCATTCCTATCTACAGGTTTCTTTTGATGGACACATGGAGTAATCTCTAAAACAAGAATGAGGCAGAAGCAGTTTCTTTTCTAATCATGTCTCTGACGAAGTGAAGGGTCCTAGACTTTTCTGACACCTCATGGACGTGGGGCGAGGGTGGGCGGTGTCCCAAGACAGGATGCTCAGGCTGCTGTCCGGACCTGGGCTGTTCTGAGCCCCATGGCCTTTTCCTGCTGCTCCCTGTGTACCTATGCTGCGAGGAAATCATCTTGAGGATTTTCCTCCTCAGCTGTTCCAAATACAGTTCATTTGCTGGAAAACAGAGAGAACCTAAGTGTCAGTTAACCCTTGGATTTTAGACATTGTATAACTTTTCAAGAACAGATCAGTCAGATTTCCAAACAGATGAGAAGAGGCCGTTTTATGCCCACGTCGCCTCCAAAATGCCTTGTTCGATGAGGATCCCTGTCTACTTCTGCTCAAAAACAGGGCAGCTGTACAGAGAACTGTGGCTGTCAAGATGAGCCAAAGCTAGTGGCTGGGATCGGACATAAATGCCTACGTACATAGCTATAGCCCGGCATTGTTTTTTTCCCTTTCCTCTTCTGGCGGTTTTTTTTTTTTTTTTTTTTTTTGCGGTACGCAGGCCTCACTGTTGCGGCCTCTCCCGTTGCGGAGCACAAGCTCCGGACGCACAGGCCCAGCTGCCATGGCTCACGGGCCTAGCCGCTCTGCGGCATGTGTGATCTTCCCAGACCGGGGCACGAACCCGTGTCCTCTGCATTGGCAGGCGGACTCTCAACCACTGTGCCACCAGGGAAGCCCTCTGGCGGTTTTTGATCCAGTCCTTTGGGTAGCAAATAGCTTAGAAAATTAAAAATGCACAAAAATGTTATCTAACAAGGGGGGGCGGGAAGGTAAAAAGGATAAAAAGTCACTATAATTCAAAGTCTGATAATCCAGTGGAGGCAGTGTAATGATTGGCAGAAAAGGGAGGCTGAATTCACGGAGTGGAAGAGTTTGATTTGGGGGCAGGGAAGGAGACATAAGTCACTCTTCAACTTACACAGCATGAAGGGGGGCGGTGTAACAGAAGATTTCTCTTAGAATTTCATTTGGAGAAAGAAGCAAGTAGGATGGAAATACCTAATTATACTTTAAAGGAAAGAAAAACCGTCAAGATACTTCTAGGTCCTCTGTAAAAGGAGTGCTGTCTTCATATTAAACACTGTCTGGAGGAACAAATGAACTGACAATTAGGGAAATGAGAACAAGAAGGTAAAATGAAATGTCTGTTCTCTCTGTATGTTGCCCACTGTAGGTGGTCGTTCACTCTCTCTCAAGGGGTCCGGGTGGGGAGGCTCACTCCACTAGTGATATCTGGTAGCCCCCCACTCCCCACTTCCTTTCTTTTTGCGGTACGCGGGCCTCTCACTGTTGTGGCCTCTCCCGCTGCGGAGCACAGGCTCCGGACGTGCAGGCTCAGCGGCCATGGCTCACGGGCCCAGCCGCTCCGCGGCATGTGGGATCTTCCTGGACCGAGGCACGAACCCGCGTCCCCTGAATCGGCAGGCGGACTCTCAACCAATGCGCCACCAGGGAAGCCCCCCACTTCCTTTTAAAGCTGTTGCCCTTCTATACTCAACTGAAAATTCTCGGGCCTGTGGTCCTTAGTCCTTAGACTTTACTCACTGTAGTCCGAGATAAGCATTCCGTTTTTTTTTTTTTTGGTGCAGTTTCAATTTAAAAATATCACCCTTCAAACGTCTGTGAAATTATTATAATTGTTCACTCCATGTGAATGTCATGAGAATGACATGATGGTTTAAAACACACTTCTGAACTCCCAGGGAGAAGCAGGCATAAGCTATTTCTTTCCTTTCCCACTGGGCTACTGCAGACCACCCCAGGACGGAGACCCGAGGCCCAGGGTACACAGTCTGAAGGCACATGCGTCCTTACATCCCAGCCCTACAGGCTAGCCAAGGCGAGCACGGCCGCTCCAAGTGAATCAGGTACACACACTGGCCCTAAATGTTCAGTACGTTTTATAAGGGGAAGAAAAATTTTGGTTTTGCAGACAAAACTTTTTCTTATCGGGGCCATGTCAGACTACGCTCTTTCAGGCCCAAATAATTTCAGCGATAATTACAGCTCTCAGATTAAGTGTTCTGGGAGCTCACTCCTTGTTCACTTCATGCATTATACAAAGTACCCACGAAATAAGCCAAGCAACCAGTTTCACATAAAGGTGAAAAGGCTGACGGCCTGTCACCTACAGCACTGCACTGTGGGCTCGAAGAGTTCTCGGAAACAGAGGAAAATAATGGCAAGAGAAAAGGTGTCTGTGGAACCCAACACGTCCCTCAGGGTAGGCGCTGGGCGGTTCCTCCCGACAGCTTACCTTGGCTTTCCCTCAGTTGCTCTCTGTCAGGCTCTCAGTGTCGCACTCTTTGGGCGGTTCCCCTCCTCCTGGCAGCTCGCTCTCGATTTCCCACAGGACGTCATCCTCGTCCTCCAAGTTGCTGGAGATGTGGCACTTCTTGAACCCCTGGACGATGGATTCGCTTGAGATGCTATTCCATGCCACCATGACCCACTCCAGAAAGAGGCCAAGGGGCGGCTTCTTGGCATTCCCCGTGGGGCTCAGGGCCAGGTTCCCCGCCAGGAGCCAGTTGGAGTACTGGGCCCGGACACTGTCATTCAGGGGTTTGTAGACCACCACATCCAACACCTGCAGCTGCGAGGTCAGGCCCCCCGGGATGATGACCATGTCGGTGTTCATGCTTTCCATGGAGCTCTTCACCGAATCAGTGGCGTGGCCCCGGAAGCCGTTGAGGATCAGCATCCCTCGCTGCTTGGGCACTGCACCGGTTCTCCGCCTCCACACCACTTCCAGCCAGTCCTGCATCAAGTCCTCCGTCATCCATCCGTACCGGTGACAGCGGATTTCCATGCCGCTGGGGAACTTCCCGGGGGGGATGTATGTGCCCCTCAGAATGATGTACGGAGGTAACTTCCTCCCATCTGCCAAGACACCAAGCATGGCGGTGATTTTCAGTTTCTCCCTGCCTGGCGTCTTGACCAAGACGGGCTTTTCACCCTGGTTGTCCACAGTCACCCTCGAGGGCACCTCTAAGCAAATGGGCGTCTCATCAGCATTTCCCATCTGAGCCACCTGGTAGTCGTGTGCCCTGCGCAGAGCCAGGACGCTCCGCTGGTAGGTGACGAGCTTCTCGGTCAGGTCTTCCGGCAGCTGCTGGGGCACCGGTACCTTATGCCGCAGAGACAAGTCATACCTTCGCATCATTCTTCGACACCAGCCCAGGCTGGCCTTGAACCCTTTCTCCGGAATGTTCATCTCCTGGGCAATCTCCAGAGCTTTCAGCTGCATGGCCTCCCTGGTGATGGGGTCCCCTTTGGCCTGCATGTATCGAACGTACTCGGCCACGCGCTGGTCCACCAGGGCGAAGCGCCCGTTTTTGGGGCCCCGGAAGGCGCGCCGCATGGCGTGGGCGTTCTGCAGCTGCGGCTTCACTTTGCGCCAGTCGCGGACGTTCTTTTCCAGCACCCCGAACTGCTTGGCCGCCTGGCAGTTGTTGGTGCTCTCGGCGTACTCCACCACCATTAACTTGAACCCCGCATCGTAACTGCGGCGCATGCCCCGGCTGAACTGAAACTTCCCGGCCAGGTCGTCTGCCGAGAGGTCGTACCCGGGGAAGCCCACGGCCATGTAGAAGGGGTACCCCTCGCCCCACTCGGGCAGCTCTGTGATGTCCCGAGGCAGACGGAGGCCATAGCCGTCCAGGTGCTGAGGCTGCGGAAACTGGGAGGCCGTGTTCATCGGGCCCACCCAGTCTGGGGGCTTCACGTCAGATTCTTCATTTTCTGGCAGACAGACAGGGAGGGGCAAAGATAGTGCCCGTAAGTAAAATGACTTCTGGCTCATTCCCTGATTTTTTTTTTCTTTTTTTGGTCGCAATACCAAGAATACCTTAATCTCAAACTCACTAAAAGCAGTAGCTCTAATAACAGATAACACGAAGTCCTTACCCCCGTGCCAATTCCCATGGATTACCCCAGCTAATTCTCACAATAACTGTTTATTTCTTCTTTGCACGTGAGTCTAGAGAAATTAAGTAATGCATCAAGGTAGCTGAGCTAGGAAGTGGCAGAACTGGAAACTGAATACAGGCAACAAGCTTGGATCACATACCAGCTGTGTGGGCCACGCTTGGGTCAAAATAACCTTTACCTGGACGAGAAGCCAATTATAACCCATATTACCACGTAATGTTATAGAATTTGTATCATCATGGGCTGAATCATATCCCTTAAACCAAGAAAATCTATAGCAATACCACACTTAGCAAAGTTAAGCTTATCAGGCAGAAGTATGGTTCTTGCATACCAATGTCAGAACTGGGTTTCACTGTATGTTTCTGTTTAGAAGGTGGCCACAGAAGCTGAACACGACTCACGGAAATTACCGTATCTCACCAAAACTAAGATGCCGTCAACTGCAAGGTGCACCATTACATGCCATTAAGAAAAGAAAAAGCTACTAGTGAAACTATAGCATGCCATCAATTTTAAGAGGCATTCTCAACTGCAGAGATGTTAAAGTGATGAGGGAAAAACGTGTCTTGGAATCAATGAAGTACAGCATGTTAAACTATTACTTATAGAGAGAAGGCAAATCAAACCACTCAGGCTGTTGGGAAGCTGTATTTTTCCAACGCCTGCCCTCTAACTATATTTCTTGATAAAAGACTGAGTGCTTCTTTAGACATATTTGCTCAAGCATGTACTACAGCTGCTATTGCTTTTTCTATCCAAGATTAAGGAGACAGGAAGCCAAGTACATAACCCTGGATGCATGCTTCGTCACACTATTTTCCTTAGCTTTCAGAGGTGTGTGGTGTGCCACCGAGGCACCCAGGATGTGCGCTGGACCAAAGCCACACAAACTTCACTTTGGTTCACCTGCATACAAAGGTGCATGTTGAGACTTATTACTGACAGTCGACAGGTGAAGAAATGGAGGCTCAGAGAGGTGGATGAAGTCGCCTAAGGTCACATAGCATAGGAAAGGAGATTCTAAAACTCCAAAGCCCATAATCTTTCTGCCTCACAACCTTGCCTTACTCTTAAATACCCCACAGAATGTACCTGGAAACTTAAAATTCATCTTCATTATTCTCCCATTGGATGGATGTTGAATTGGGTTAATCGTAGTACCTGCAAAGGTTCCTCCCTGGAACTGCCATTCGTCAGAATTCTGAGACTCCTCCTCCCTTTCCAACCGAGTGATCATGTCGGGCTTAGGGAATGGGAATTCTGTTTATAGGAAATAGAACAGGTAACAGCTGTGTGTTACTGTCTTGGAACACTGCCAAAATAAGTACTTTATAATACTTAAGAAACCCTCCCCTCCACTCCCACCCCACCACAGTCTTCTCAATATGCAGATTTATGAAAGGCGGGGGGAAAGGGCTCAGGGATACTTAAAGAAAAAATATGATGGGAAATAGGTCTGTCCAAGGGAATTTATGAATCTCTGCTAATGTACTAGCAACAACAAAAAGGAACTGCATTTAGCAGGGAAGTGGGTGGGTGCAGCCACGGATCTAATGAGCACTCTGGTATCCATATGAGCAAATGAGGAGATCCCTCCAAATGGTTACATTCTAATAATATGGTTACATTCCAATAATATGGATATCAATGCTGGGAAGGGAGCAAGGATTCTTTGAGGATATGTCCCCAAGCTTCTAAGGCTGACAGGGTAATAACAATGAGGCCTGCCTTCCCTCCTAAGGAACATATGAAGCACAGGCGCAGACCCATGGTGACATTTCTTAGATTATGTCTTATTTTTTCTTTTTTTGATGAGAATGCCTGGGTTGAATGAGGATGGTTCTGAGAGCTGGCACAAGCCGCTGAGTAGAAGGACACAATATGTATATCCTGCCTAAATCAAAAACAGGAAATTAAATGGGCACAGGCATTGAGGGGACAGACTCCAAGTTCAGGAGAGAGGGATGTTGGATACACCAGAGAAGAGAGACGTGGAAACAATTCTCTGGGCTCAGAGCTTCTAGGAGACAAAGGAAAACAAAGCTTTACCCAGGGACAGGACAGTTTCATAATTCATCCTCATGACCTCCCGGTACAGGGCCTTTTGCTGCTCCGTCAAAACGTCCCACTCCTCATCGGAAAAATATATGGCCACCTCATCGAATAGGGCTGGCACCTGCAACAGTGAACAGGCCTTTCTCAGCGACTAGTAGGCACATGCAGACACAGATCACACACCCGCATCTCACAGGCGAGGGCTTGGGCCCGGGGAAACGTCTGTCCTGAGTCACACGGCTCCTCCGAGAAGCAACACCAAGACAAAAACAAGGTCTCCCGTGCCCTGCTGAGTGCTTTCCTCCCCCGGCATCCACAGATAAGGAGAGCAGCACCTTGAGAAGAAAAGTCCCCCGTACTGGTTGGGAGACACTGGGTCCTCACATACAGCAGGGAGAGCCGATCACAGCTCAGCCCCCATCCAGAGCCAGAACCAACCACGCTCGAGGAAACACCCCGAGACAGCTGCCCCACCAACACAACCCTGCTCTCTCCCTTGGTCACAGATCCTCAGCCCAGGAGGGTGCTGGGGGCCTCCTGGGCACTAGTCTCCATTTGCAGGGCACTAGCCCCGGTTTCTGACTCAGAACCCAACGCTGCCAGGGAGGGGCCAGTGAGAGAAGGGGCTTCGGCCGGCCTTTTCCAATCCACGAGGAGGAGGATAGAAGGGCTAATTAGAGCTTCAATTTATGTAATGAGATACTAGAGCAGACTGCTTTGCTTCCGTGCCTAGACCCGCAGCAGGAAGCCCTAAGGCCAGAGAAGAGCGCTCTACTGCCCGCTCTTGGGCTCACCTACCTCCCCATCCCCATGGGCCAGTGGGACGGGGTTGCCTGAGAAGCCAAACGCAGCCAAGGCACCCAGACCGACCCCCTCTTGTTCAACTCTCTGCTTTTCTTTTTACTATGTGTTTTCCTTCAGTCATTAAAAATCCTACTCCAAAGTTCATCGTATTCAATGGTAAGGGATCTGGGCTGCTGCTTTCACAGCTACTCCCCATAGCTGAATCTAGGGCCTGGGGGATCAGAGTACTGTTTTCCATCTGCTTACAAAAGTTCAGTGTCTGCACCACCTGCAGCTTCTTCAGGCCCCCGGCCGTCAATCATCTAGATCTCCTGGCCCTTCTTCCTTACGCACGAAGCCCACCTCGTCCCTCCCCCGCATCACAGCCCCTTCCACACAGGGAGAACCTCCTAGGAAAGGCCCTGTAACTGCTTCCCTTATTCCCCCCACAGCCCCATTTAATTAAGGAGGAAACTGGCTCAGAGCAGCCCCGTTTCTGGCCCAAAGTCACACAGCCAATAACGGCAGGGTTGAGAGTGGGACACAGCACTGTCTGACTTCAAGGCTCCCGCCCTCACAGAGGGCAGAGGGGTCTCCCAGGTCACCAGCTGGCAGGCCTCCGCTCCCACCCCGCACACGCTCAGCGGTACACAGCTGCTGCAGTTCCCTGAACAAACCATCCTCACACCCTCTGTGTGTGTGCACATGGTGCTCTGCTGCCTCGGAGGTCCTCCCCATTCTTGGCCTGGCTGACACCCACCCACTTTCCAAGACTCAGCCCAGACATCCTGTTCCCCAGGAAACTGGTCCCAACCCAAGCTGTGTGCCCTGTGACGCCCTGGGCTGAAGGCTCTGATGGCACTTATCACACTGCAGAGTCCTCTTGGCTTACCTGTCTGCTTCTTCCACTAGAATATTGGCTCACTGAGGGCAGTACTCTGGGCTTATTCTGTTTTGTTTCCCTAAGCCTAGAACACTTCCTGTAGGTAGTAATCCCTTAAAAATGTGTTCTTTGAATCAAAGATTTAAGCAAATAACCCCTGGATGTCTCTTATTCCGCTTGGAATAGTTTCAAACAATCGTTAAAATGTATCTGTCACAAGACTGAACTTACTCTTTGGAGTAAGAATGGACAAAAATCCCTAGTGTCAAATACCAGGAGGTACAAACGGATTGGTCTCTGGGCTCCGCTCAGACTCCATCAATCTGGAAAGCCAGGCAGCCAGGAATTTTCCATCCCACCCCATCCCACTTCCCAGGCTTTTAAACAACTCTCCCTTTGGCCTCTTCTCTCCCTAGGAAATTCCAGATCTAGGCCATACCTATTTATAGGCCCTTTCCCTTTGCTGATAAAACAGGACACAGGACTGGCTACGCCTGTCATTGCAGAGGGGCTACCCACGTCGATCCTTGTAAAAGGTAACACGTCCTGGGCCTGGTAAATATATCAGCAGCCCTGGAGTGGTGAGAAGGCAGCTGGAGGCTGAGGCTGGATTCATCTCCTCCCATTTAGGACTGAGCCCCGGAGGATCCTCAGACAAGCCCACATTATGTTCCAGAGGCGCGCAGTGCAGTGGCTTAGGAATTCTCCTCACAGCAACCTTCTGTGAGAATTGAGCAAGCCTTCAGCCAGGCCCTGCTGTGCAGGCCTCCCCTCTCTCCACAGAGGCCTTTTATCTAGCCAAGCACAGCAGAAGGTAAACAGGGCCAGCCCTGGGCCAAACTCAGAAATCAGGCAGCCGCCATCCAACCCCTGGACACCCTTGCTTGGCCTCACAGGTAGAGGCCCTCGATCCCCGCCTTCCTCCCTTCCCTCAGAAGGTCAAGGACTCATCAAACAGGTGTTCTTCCTTCAGCTTGTGTGTGCTGCCTCACTCGGTCCCACGAGCTGGCATTCCAACGCTCATCTCCAAGGGTAACCGTCCTAGAGTACTTACACGCTGCCCAGGCTCGCTGCACCCAGCGAAGACAGCACTTAGGGGGCTGGGACCGGTGCACTGATAGAGCGCCTGCTGTATGCCAGGCACTGTGTAGGGCACTCCCTCTTACGTGGTTAAATGTGTTACCTTATTGAATCCTTTAAATACTACAGGGATACGGGGATCACCACCCCAGTTTTATGGGTGAGGAAACAGGGCTGATAAGTATCTTGCCCAAGGTCACAGAGTTAGCAAGTCGGACTCCCAAGCCCGTGCTTTCTCGGCAGGCCACTTAGGCCAAGTGGCCTCTGCCTGGTGGTGGCAGCAAACCCTAACGTCCCTTAGAAAGACGAGCCGAGGACTTCTCCCTCAGAGCTGCTAGGGAGGGAGCTCAGACTCCTGGGCGCAGCACACTCCCCCGCAGGGCTGGCTCGGTCCCCTGGCCCCCTCTGCTTCTCTCGCCCATCCCCTCCACTCCCGGACTCCACTGCGGGCTCCAGCTGCAGGAGCTGCTCTGGACTCTGCACACACGAGCTTTCCTCTCCAGTGCTTTTGCTTCTGGCTGCCTGGAGGGCAAGACCCTCCCTTCCCTTGGCTGGTTCCACCTAGGCCGAAGGCTTGGTTCAAAGTATACTTTCCCTTTTTTCTACTTGAAATTGGATTTCTACTCCAGTTCTCCCACGAAATATTACCCTAATATACAGCCTGATTCTTTGGTTGGAAAAGCTTTTATTGATCACTCTAACACAATCCCCAACAACCAAAATGCATATTCGATTCTTTTCTTCCCCTAGTTTTAATGCTCTAGAGCAGGGGTTTTCCCACCTCAGCACTGCTGACATGTTTGGCCAGATAATTCTTCGTTGTGGGAGCTGTCCTGTGCATCACCGATGGGTAGCAGCATCCCTGGCCTCTACCCAGGAGATGCCTGTAGGATCTCCCACTCCCCAAGCCCCACCCCGAGTCATGACAACCAAAGATGTCTCCACCCAGACGTCCCTGGGAGGGATGGGGCTGGGGGCAAAACTGCCTACTGCTCCAACCAGGTCCCTGCCTGCCTTCTCCAGCCTGCAGGAGAGCCCATCTTCCCCCACAGAACTCCAAATACTGTGCAGTTAATTACATTTACTTCCCTATCTTCCTCACAAGACTAGTACCCCCGCGAGACTAGGGATCTTGCCTTAATAACACCCAGCACTGTGCTCAGTAGCTGCGGATGGATGGCAGGCTGCCTGGGTGCCACACATGCCAGTCCCCCTCCTCCAGCTCCTCTGGTTACCTCCTTCTTTCCCAGCCAAGCATGGGCTTCACCTTGCTCCTCTCTGTGTCGTCCCAATACACTCTTATGTGCGCTTCTACTGCACCTGCTTTGCGCACTTCTCCATTCTGTCTAGATGTTCTCGGTTGGCCAATGCAGCCTCAAAGCCATGAGTTCTTGCTCAGGGCTAGATAGGACGGATGCCTGCTCTCCAAAATCTCCCCAGCTGCATGGATCTGAACTGGAGAGGAGGCCAGGGTGGGCTGAAGAGACAAATGCAATCCAGGCTCCATAGCTAGATGAGAAAACCCAGAGCCTGGTGTCGTACTGCTTTAAATATTTTTAATTGAAGTATAACATACATACAACAAAATGAAGTACTTTTAAGGTCCAGCTCAAGAGGTGTTTTTAAGAACAAATGTCATTGTACATGTGTATCCTAGGAGCAAAATAGATAACCTTGCTGCACCCCATGCAGTGGGAGCGGAGCGGGACTGGATAGTTTGGAAGGACCATGATTCTATGAATACAGATCTCTCACTGGAAACAAAGGATATGTATACCGATGACATTCATACACAGTGGAAAACTAAGCAGAGAAAAGGAATGTCATTTTGTTGCTTCTTTAAAATGTTTACCATTCATGCCCAATTATCATGAAGTCCAGTAAGTACTGTGAATAATGTACATAACGATGACTATTAATATCTGTTGCATTTACACTTTTATAAGTTTACTCTAATTCTATCACACTATGCTGTTTGGATATGCTCCCTATTCACTGCTGCCTACTATCGCAACCCCTCCATCCAGGACCAGCTGGAAATGCAGCTCTCTCCTGTGTCAACTGGCCTCGTCCCATAAAGCTCTCCTCACGTCAGTTCAGTGCCCCAAGACTTACTTAAATGGTTTAAATGGTTCCCTTCAACCAGCGGTAGGTGATAAAGACTCTCTCCTCACCCAAACTTTGGCCAGGCTCCTCTGAGCCCTCTTCTCCACTAGGCCTCTATCTTGGACACATACACACCCCCCTCCGGTTCTCAGTCTGCCCAGACCAGTTTTAGCAAGAATCCTGCTAAGTCAGTTTAGAAAGAACCCTCCACCGTGGATGTCTCCTCTTAGTAATTTTCCAACCACTGAGCCCTCCGCGCTGCTCCTTGGCTATAAATCCCCACTTGCTGAGCCCGATCTCTCTCCCCTATTGTGACAGTCTTGAAACCTATCTCAATAGTCCTGAATAGTCTTCCTTATCATCTTAACAAATGCCAGGACAATTTTTCTTTCACCCAGGCCAGCAGAGGTTTAGTTGGTGTCTACAAGGTGCCTGGCATTGAGCAGGATACAGGGAATCCACGGGTACAGGAGAGAGACACAGTCGTGGCCTCTTGGACTCCCGATCCTGATGGTGTGCTTGAAGCTGCGTGCCTGAAGGGACTGTTCCCAGAACCAGTTCCATTCTTCGCTGTGCCTTTTAAAGCCACAGAACTGTTTTCTCAGGAATGCAAACACACCGGGCTGGGCTAGGCTATTTTTACTTCCTATGTCTGCTTGAGGAAGAGACTTAATACAAGCCTGGCTCCCAGGCCTGCCCCTCACAGCTGTGTGTGGACTGCACACCTTCTTACTTACCCATCCGCCCTCTGAGCAGATTCGGACTTTCTGCATATCTGTGGGGCCATCCTCCAGGTCCCGGCTCTGAATCTCTTCTTCTTCTTCCTCTTCTTTCAGGGTCAAATTGAGAGGGTAGGCTGTGGACTCCATCTCTGCAAGTAAGATTCAGTTCAGAAAAATCAGGTGCTAGTGTGAACTCTTTAAAGTCTGTGATGGGGCAGCTCAGGCTACACAAACCTTTTTAGCCCCAAGCACAGTTCAGCTGCAACAATGGAAGGGGACAGGGCCAGGCCTGGGGAGGAAGGGTTTCAGGGAAAGCACCAGGAAGCTGGAAGGTGACATATTTAATTATGATAAGAAGAGGGTTGCAGGCAGATAGCATACCTGGCTGCCTTCGAATATTTAAAAAGCTATCTGTGTAAGACAGACCAGACTGGTTCTGTAGAGACCCAAAGGCAGAGCAGGCCACTGAGTAAACATTCCAGGAAGAGGTTTTAAAGAGTGCATCAAATGGCAGAACTTTCTCACAGCCAGTGCCACCCAAACATGGAATTGGCAGCAAGACAGCGCTATTGGCTTCCTTTCAATGAAGGCATTTGAACACAGATAGAGCACTCGCTCAACTGGGTTGTTCCTACAGGGCCAGTTCAGCATCAGGAGGTTAGGTGGCCCAGAGTACCTGGATTTTCCAGATTCAAAGGTTCTGTCCATAAGCCAGGTCAGAAAATAAGACTGTTCTGCCTTAAGCGACTTTCCAAGCCCAGGAGTCGGTGATCCTTAGTGAGGGGTAATGCCTGGACACGCAAGAAGGTGCAGAAATCAGCTGGGGCCAGGCTCTGGGGCCCACCGCCACCGGGAAGACTCGCTGCCTCTGGGCCGCAAATTCTCTTCTGCAAATTCTCTCGCCCAGCTCCTAGGCCAGTACAAAGGGCCGCGCTCCTGCCCTCTAGGGGCGCGGGCAATTCCTAGGTGTGGAGTGAGCGCGCATCTTGTGGGCCGCATCCTCCCGGGCTTCCAAAGAAAAGGTCCTTCCGGAGTTCAAAGTCTGCTCCTTCGATATTTTCAAAAAGGACGGGCGAATGCGGCAGGATAGGTCTGGGGCGGGTGGAACAGGCTTCAGATCCCTGGAGCTGGGGCCTGAACTTGGCCGCGGCCTCCCCCGCCGGCTCCCGGGAGGGAGATGGGGGGGTGGGGGCGCCGCCCCGCGGCGAAGGTGCAGGCGAAGAGGTATCCTCTGCCCCGCCACCGCCCACCCGCCCGGCGCCCCGCCCGCCGCCGCTGCCGCGCCCCCGGGCGCGCTCCGGTTTCTCCAGCCATCTTGTCCCATTTCCCTTTCTCCGCGGCCCCGCGCCGGGAGCGCTCCTGCCGCCCCCCTGCCCGCGCCCGGCCCGGCCCATCTCCCCGCCTGGCCCGCTCCCGGCCCCAGCGCACCTGCCGAGCGGCCGGGGCCGGCGCCGCCTGCCTTCCCCGGCGGGCCCGCAACAAAGGCAGTGGCGGCGGCAGTTGCAGCTGCAGCCTCGGGACCCCCCGCCCCCGCCGCGGCCCGACCGCCGGGGGCCCGAGGGAGGGGCCTTGCCGCCCCCGGCCCCCGCCCCGCCCGCCCGCGCGCACTCACCGCCGGGCCGAGAGCCGGGGCGTGGGCCGGGGCCGCGGTGGAGACGCCGAGGGCTCCGGCCCGGCTGTCACAGCGCCATCCTTTCCGTCTCTCCGGCTTCCCGTGCGCGCGGCCCCTCGGGAGGGAGCGGGGAGGACACGTGGTGGGAGGAGGGAGGGTCCGGCCGGGAGCTGAGGGTGTTGGGAGGCGAGGGGAGGAGCGCGGCTGATGTCAGCGGGCCGCGGCGGCGCCGGGGGACGGCGCCCGCGCCAGCTCCCGACCCTCCTCCCGGCGTGGCTTCCGGCCGGTCCGCGCCGCGCGCTCCACTTGGCTGAGCTCCCGACCCTCCGCCCGGCTCCGCCTCGCTGGCCGGAGTAGTGCTCTCTGCCCTCTCTGCTTCCCCTGGTGCAGTTTCCTGTGCACCATGTGCGACCTCGGCATAGATGAGGCAGGAAGAGCCCGGATTTATGTTTGAACTGAATGTAGCCTGGGTGCACACGTTCATGCGCTTATTTGCATGAACCACTGCTTTGCACTTGCTTGGACGAGCACTCGAGGCACTCTAAGGCATGCTTCAAGGAATGTGTTATGAAGAGTAGACCAGCGAGGGGGTTGGGGGGAGTGTGGAGGGGTCTAGGATCTTTCGGGAAGCATGCATATTCTGGCAGGCATATGTTCAGAACTTCGTACGTAATATACATGTTGAAGGAACTTCCTGATTTTTGTAGTTGTTGCGTGTTAAATCCCAAGTGTGTAATGCCATGGAGGAAGTAACTCTAAAGCAGGATCTTCTCCAAAATGTTCAAAGAATTTGCGTGCAGCTCTGTGGACAATACAACAAAAGTGAGCGGAGAAGCCCTGAATCGCTTCTCATTCTAGAAAAAGATCCCGGGTTTGGTATTTTTGTTGGGAACTCATTAAAGAAGAAATTATTCTGACAATCGTTAAAGCGGAAAAGTAGGACTTTATTCGGGATTATTGAGATAGCTGGCAAGACTATCGCAATAGAGCTGAGCTCTCCGGCTCAACTCTGAATACAGCAAAGACCAGTTGGGGAATTATCACCCACCTGGGAGTGAGGAGGTCAGTGGGTGGAATACTAAGAGGAGACAAGAAGGGTAGAGGGACTCTTGCTAAACCGATTTAACGGGATGCTTGCTGATGGCAAGCCAGGTTGATCAGATATCCAGGGTGGGGGGCTCTCTCTGTGCTGGGAGGGCTGAGGACCGGACGGGGTGTGTATGTGTCCCATGTAGAGGCCTAGTGGAAAAGAGGGTTCAGAGGAGCCTGACTAAAATTTGGTCAAGGAGAGAATTTTGTCAAAATTTTCAGACTGTCCCTGAGAACTGAGTGCCTGCAGGGAAAGATTTCTCCAAGTTTTTGTCGCCATTCTTGTATTTATTTATATGTGACTTTGATTCCTCTCTGCCAGGGAGAGGCTACAGTGGAACTGTGGAGCTCTCAATGTATAAAATATAGTATGACAATCGCATCTTTGAAGTGTAATTATGGCGGACAACCAAAGACCAAGACCAAAGAGGTCTAATCGATGGAGAGCAGTCAATTCAAATACTGGGAGAGAGGTAGATATTAGGATTTTTTGTTTTTACGCACAATTCTTTTTGTGTATAAAGTTAACATTTTTAGAGCAAGTGTGACATCTTAGCTCAAATTGATTGACATTCCCATCTCTTCTGAGAAAATGGCTGGTTCAGATGGAAAGGTGAGGGAGTCTGGAAGGAGAAGAGTACTAGGGGCACTGCTGACAGCTCACCTTCTTACAAAAAAAGTATTGATACGGGTTATGAGATAACCAAAGAGGAATATTATGCTAGGGTTTTAGGCTCTGAGAGCCCCACTGTTCTCATGCTGCTTTGATTAGGTTTTCCCTGGGAAGAGGCCAACCAACAGTGTCCCACCTGAATTCTTGACTTTGAACCCACAGCCCCACGATCTCAGTGATTGTCACAGGCCCACCTTTGAAGAAGTCCACAACTGCTAACACGACTTACTCATAGGAACAAAGTGCTGGGGTCAGCACAATACACTGCAGACATTCATGTTTGTGGCTAAGTCACATCACTTGTCTCTGCCTGAGTTTCCTCATCTTCAGAAAGAGGGGGTTGAGCTAGTTATTGTCTGAGCTTCCCCTCACCTCTATCATTCAGTGATTCCTTTCTCCGTAAGACTTTGGCTTAGTCTGAATGGGGAGTGACTGAAGCTAGTCTTTGAAACGGTGCATGGCTTTGGTACTTAGGTAGGATGGATATCTGTTAGTAAGTGGTTAACAATTATGAACAGAACACCCATGGCATCAACATGATAGTTTTTTAATGAGATCGGTCTGACTTCATCTTTCCTTCTGTTGAATTTTTGCAATACACAAACCATAGGGATTCCAAAGAGCCCAAGTCCCACAAAATACCTCTTGAACTGTAGTGTCTGCTGGTTCATACACATTTCTGACCTTCAGTACAGACTCCATGGCCCTCAGACAGCATAGCTACTGGCCCCCATTGCTCCATCTCTCAGGGACTGTGGTAGATTGAATTAATGGTCTTGCTTCTTTGTGCTTCTGTGGTAGTACACCCTGCTGTTACATAGCACACCTTGCTGAGGTCTCAGTTGTGCAGAATGTACTTCAAAGCCCCTTCACTTGGCATGGCCATGTGACATGCTTTGGCCGATTGAATGTAGGTGGAAGTGACTACATGTGAGTCCTGAACGTGGGTCCTAGAAGGTCTCACATATTCTCACTTTTCTCTCCGGTAGCTTTTGTCCTCTGCCATGACAAAATCATGCCTAGTTAGTCACTGCCCCTCCAGCCTGGGCTCCAGAATGAGACCTGTGCTGCACAGCCATCCTGTGAACATGAGAAGAGGTCGCTGTTTTGTTTTAATTTATTGAGTCCTCAGGAGGCTGGTTAGGTAGCACTTTTGTGGTGAAAGCTCATTGAGGCAGTGACAACAGGCAGCCTCGGACTTAGAGCTCCCATCATTGGCCCTCATGGGGATGCTCTGAGGCAGGGGAAAGGAGAGTTGCCATTTCACGGTGGAAATCCTCAGATATGTGCACAAGGGAATCCGAGATTGGGAGTGGAGACATAAAGAACCAAATGGGGGGAGGGCATGCAACTGCTGGCTGTATCTTTCTCTTCCCTGGGATTCTGGCACCTCAGAGGAAGATCAAGATATGACCTCTACATTCATATTCCCAGTAAAGCCTGAAACTACTCCTGGGAGATCTTGATAAAATGGTAAGGGAAACCCTGCTCCGGACAGTTCTTGGAAGGGTTAAAAGGTTCCTGGAGAGGCAGTGTGTTGTTAGAGAAACTCAGAGGATTAAGGAACAGGTAGAGGTCTCTCTAGAAAAAAAGCAAAGAGAATTGTAGTACTGAGTGTAGTACAGTAGTCCCCCCTTGTTCGCAGGGGACATGATCTAAGACCCCCAGTGGCTGCTTGAAACCACAGGTAGTACTGAATCATTTTCTGTTCATGTCTTCCACCCACAAATTTAATACCTTTTCCATCTTAACTGAGCACTTATCATACACCGTGACCATAATTTTTGCAGTTTGAGGTGCAGCAGCAAAACTAGCATGGGTTTTGTCCTTCTTTCCAATTTCATGAATAGAAGATTCGTTCTTACCATATCTTAGCAACCTCAGCACATGATCTTTTTACTTTCCTTATTAAGTTGAGAACTTTCACCTTTTCACTTAAAGGAAGCACTTTGTGATTTCTCTTTGGCATATCCAAATTACCAGCATCACTACTCTTGCACTTTGGAGCCATTATTAAGTAAAATAAGTACCACTTTGCAAAAGCACTGAGATACTGAGACAAATCAGTCTGATAATTGAAATGGCTACTAAGTGACTAATGGGCAGGATATGCTGGACAAAGGGATGATTCACTGTCCCAGGCAAGATGGAGGGTGATGGTGCAAGAATTCATCATGCTACTCAGAACAGTGCACAATTTAAAACTTATGAGTTATTTCTGGAGTTTTCCATTTAATATTTTCAGACCATGGTAGACTATGGGTAACTAAAACTGTGGAAAGTGAAACCATGGATAAGGGGGGCATACTGTACAGACTACAAACAGACACACAAATGTATAAAGGCTCAAACAATAGAAATTTATCTTTCATTTATGTAACAGTCCTCTGTGGGTGTTCCTGGTCCACAGGTGACTCTCCTCCATGCTGTGATTTAGAGACCCATGTTCCTTCCATCTTGTGGCTCTGCCACACCCTCAGGCCTTGTGATTTTCTTCATCCATCAGAGTGAAGAGGAAAGAGAAAATGGAGAATGTACACCCCCCCTTTTTTTTTAGCCCTAAAGTGACACACATCTCTTTGGATAGCTCACTGTGTTCCTGAGCTATGACCTTCACAAGTATTTCTCAGTTTTTTCCTCCTTCCCCGTTAACTGAGACACGATGAAGAAGTTGGACCTGGGTTTTTCCCTTCCTCCAAGTCAGTTAGGCTCTGGTAAAACACGAGTTGGTTAAGTTCTGTTAAAATAAGTTTTCCTTAAAAGCAGGCTTTTGTTAAGGAGAACAGAGCACGCTGGGCTTATTTAAAAATGGTTAATTTTCCCCTTCCCCTT